CTAATAATTGAGTTTCATTAACAACAAAAACATAGTGACATTACACTATGTGAGAGTAGACAGTAAAAATAAAGGAGCGAATTTATCTGTTTCTTCGACAGATGTTGGCTGGACGTCCGCCATGTGTCAGCCGGTGTATGAAAGACCTAGATGGTGAGTCGTGAATAGCTTGAAACCAAATAGTTGTCAGGAGGAAGGCAAGCACAGGAATGATGAAGATGCTCCTTACTGCTGCTGAAAGCTGATATTTATTCAGGACTTCATGCCCAAAGCTGGGCTAAGTGTTGTACAATCATTAGCTCACAAAATTGTCACAATAACACTATGAAGTTGTTACAACTCCGATTCTCATTTTGCAAATTAGAAAAAGAGGCTTATTAAATTAAATTAATTTGCCCGAAACATATGTATAGGCTGGAGCCTATACTGACAAACAAGATCTGATTCCAAAGCCTGTGTTTTTCATTTCCATATCATCAGGAGAGATAGAAAGGGAGCTGTGGGCACGGAAAGAATAGTATTAGACGCTAGATAAATTTCAGAATTAAAATCTGCACATGGAAGCCATAAAGAGAGGAAGCACCCTCTGTGATGTGGAGAAGCAGCTGAGAAGTTCTCTCAGAATGCAGATGAGAAGGACAAAAAGTGGAGCACTGGAGAATGCGAAAGATATCATGGTAATTGGAATTTCTGCGGAAGAGATCAGAAGCCATGGAAAAGAAGGAATGATATATGATAGAATAAAAATTCCTTTATTTAAGAAAAACTCGATTCTGCACCTTGAAAAGATTCATTAAGTACAGACTAAAATTACCAAAAAAATAGGAGCAATAAATATGTTCTGTGTATTCTTATCTTAAGCGAAAAACAAGAAAATGCACAGATCCTAAGTGTTTTGTTCTAAAAGTTTCGACGCATAAATAGAATAGAAAATAACTCCCAAACCCTAGTAAGTGCCCTCGTGCTCCCTTAATCATTCTTACTCCCAGAGGCAGCCACCATTCTGTCTTCTCTCACTGTAGATTAGTGTTGCCTGTACTTGAATTTCACATAGATGGAACTGTACGGTGTTTAACTGTCTGGCTTCTTTTCTCTCCATACGTCTTCGCGATCCATCAGTGGTTTATTTCTTTCTATTGCTGAGACATACTCCATTGTATGAATAAACAGCAATCTGTTTGTCATTTCTCTTGCTAATGAACATTTGGATTGCTTCCAGTTTTGGGCCATAATAAATAAAGTTGCTATGAACGTTCTCTTACGAGGCTTCTTGTAGACATATGTTCTCACTTCTCTTGGGTAAATACCTAAGAGAGGATGCACTGCTACAGGGCGAGCTTGTGTTCAACTTCACAGGAAACCACCCAGAGCTCTACAAAGTGGTTGTTTTGTCTTATGTGCTCAGCAGTAGTGTCTCAGAGTCCTATTTGCTCCACATCCTGGCCAACTTCTGGTGCTCTCGGTATTCTTCATTTTAATTTGAGTATGAAGTGATAATTTGCTGGTGGTTTTCATTTTCACTTTCCTGAAGACCAGTGACACTGAGCATCTTTTCCTGTGCTAACTGGTCATTGTCTTCCTTGGTGAAGTGTCTGTTCAAATCGCTGGCCCGTTTTTAACATGATGGCCTCTCACAATAAGCCAGGTGAGAGGTTATGAAGACCTGAACTGAGGTTGTCATAATGGTGATAACAAGAATGGTGTGAGAGCGAGGGAGGGCAAAGTGAAGGCTGACCACTGGATGTCTGCTGTGGTGGATAATGGAGGTAATGGTGAGTTCATTCAGACATGGGGGCTTGTGGTCCTAACCATTTCAACACTGCTAACATGACTCAGCAGAAATCTTGGAGGATGACTTCTTCACACCTGGTCTTCACCCAACACCCACCCCCAGCCTCTACTGTCTACATCACTTCTACATCTGGTACCCTCTTGGGAGCACACCTAGAACTAAAACAACTGTATTAAATTATAAACTTATAAGTGCATAAATTTCATCCCCGTTAATCTGAAGTAACCTATGTGTCTCATTGTTTGAGAAGTTTCTAGGAGGTCTCCATGGGAGAATTTTTTTTAAGTGTTAAGTTTTCAAAGTCAACAAAAGCTGCTCTAAAGTTTTGTGTTATATTTATGGCCCCCTGATGCCTATATTTAATTTGGTTTGGATTTCTGTAAGAAACATATTTCATCATGTAATCCCCAATAATCCTGCCCAAGAACACAGCTTCCTTGGGGTTGTTGAAGTCATGACTCTTGTATGCTCTAAATAAACACGGGTGGCTCTTGGAGTTGTATGTCATCTACAAATAATGGTCTTTTCACCTGGTTTTTATGGAGGCCGACCTGTGGATAGAATAAATCCACTTCTCAGTTATCCAGAAGTCTTGCATCATGGAAGTGTTTATACCTTGTTTAGAACAAGCTTAGTCACAGTGTGCTTGCACTTCATGAAGCCATGACGAAAATCTCTCTTTAAAAGCCTTTTCTGAGTCATTTCCAGAAAAATCCTTATGCCTTCTTGGCTTCCATTTCCCATTATTCTCCTTCATTTGAGTGTGTGTTTGAACACATGACGCATTATAAATGCTTTCATGTGGAAGTTCCCAAAGCAGGAAGCATGAAATGAGCTCAGTCAGCTTTATTATATATAACTTTGCTTTCACTTAGCCATTAATGTGCAAATGATGGAATTCGTTTTCTAGTAATCACATTGGTTAGATCCAAGAAACACGTTTGCACAAAATGAAACAAATAAGAAGTGCATTTTGGATGGTGTGAAAGAGAACAGCCTAGTGTTGCTTAGATTATAGCATGTACACCATGGATGCATGGGTTGTGATTTTAGTGTGCTGTTTATTTCTGTGATATCTTGCTTCATTTTGCCCTGAGAAGTATGGGGAGACATGTATTACCAAACTGTAATAAAATACTGTATTGTAGCTGTTGATTGAAAAAAAAAATCCCCCAAAGCATGAGATTTTGACAATAGAGACAAGAAACCAACTCAACTATAAAGGGAATTCTCAGAAGCAGAAAATGTTGTAGAGGAAGTAGAAGCAGAACCCATAGAAATAATACCCGAAAATTTTCCTTGGCTGAAGACAGATACAAGCCTGCAAGTTGAAGGGCCCACCAACACCAAGAAAAATAAGTAGAAGGAGACCTATAGACAGTGAAGATGTATTTCAAGGCTAAAGGGACCTATTCTTAGCACCTAGGGTGAGCATGTTAAAGGTAAACATACAGTCAGATTGGCTTCAAACTTATCTTCTGCAGGACAAAGTGTTAAAAATCAACATGTCAGTATCTCTACAATTTTGAAGGAAAATTACTGTAAGCCGATTCTTTAACTTGCCAAGCTATTGTTTATGTGTGAGAGTAACATATAGATTCTTAGATATAGAGGAATTTAAAAAGTATACCATTTTAGTTTCCTACTGTTGCCATAACAAACCATCACAAACTTAGTGGCTTAAACAGCACAGCTTTGTTATTCTCTCTTAGTTCTAGGGGTGAGACATCCTAGAATCAAGGGCTGCATTCCTTCTGGAGGTTCTAGGGGAGATTCCTCTCCTTTGCCTTTTTCAGTCCCTAGAACTCATCCATATTCCTGGTCTTGCGGTTCCTTCTTCTGTCTTCAAAGCTAGCACAGTTGCATCTCTGACCATTCACCCATCCTCCCAGGTCCCTCTGAGGCTCCTCTTCTGCCTCTCTCTTCCATTTAAAAGGACCCATGGGATTACACTGGGCTAACCCAGATGACCCATAATCTCCCCACCTCAAGATCCTTAATTTAATGACAACAACAAAGTCCCTTTGTCATGTAAGTTAATATGTTCACAGGTCCTGAGAATTAGGAGAATTTTGTGGGTTGGGGGGTATTATTCTGACTACCACATATACCAAACAAGCCCCTTGAAAAAAGGTAAAGATCATATAAATTTAAAATTCAGTTGGAAGAGGGGCGCCTGGGTGGCTCATTCTGTTAAGCGTCTGCCTTCCACTCAGGTCATGATCTCAGGGTCCTGGGACTGAGCCCTGTGTCAGGCTCCCTGCTCAGTGGGGAGTCTGCTTCTTTTCCCTCTGCTCCTTCCCCTGTTCGTGCTCTCTCGCTTGCTCACTCTCTCAAATAAATAAATAATATCTTTAAAAAAAATAAAATTCAGTTGGAAGAAAACATATGAGAATAGTCAAATTTTGAAAACAGAAAAGGAATGATTGGGACATACCCTAATAATCTCTAAAATTGTAGAGTTACAGTATAATTGACACCAGAACAAAGAGATTGAAAGTCCACGAATAGTTCCAAACGTCCACATGAATTTAAAGCGATGAGAGAATGAGAAAGAAATCCAGTACAGCTTGTTAGGAAAACTAACAAATCATTTGAGGGGGGATAAAAGGTTAAAACCTGAACTTGTATCTTATGCCCACAGACAGTAAAGATTTAAATATACATATTTTTTTAAAAAATGAAACCATGAAGCTATTGGGAGAAATTTTTATTTTATTTATTTATTTTTAAAGATTTTATTTTTAAATAATCTCTACACCCAACATGAGACTTGAACTCACAACATGGAGATCAAGAGTCACACACTCCATGGACTGAGCCAGCCAGACACCCCTACTGGGAGAAAATTTTAGTGAATAATTCTGTAATTTTAAAATGAAGATGATTTTCTAACTGTAACTCCCAAGCCAGAAACCTTTAAAGGGAAATAATGGATGTATATGAAGACATAAACAGCTAAATAATAATAAAAATGATTTCTATATGACCAAAATGGTTGAAAGACCTATGATAAGTTATTTATAACAAAATTGGCAAAAGTCAATGTCCTTCTTATATAAAAAGCCTTTACAAATCAATAATTAAGAGACAAGAGAAAAGTGGGCAAAGGATATAAATACACACTTTGGAAAAAGAATTGAACAGAACAAGCAAACATGAAAAGAGTACATGTCAGAGGAACCAATGATTTTTTTTTCCAGAAAGAATCAAATAAGAGCAATCAAATCAGGGTGCCATAAGTCCTGATTATGCAGAGATGCTAATCACAAATCATGCAAACTTTAATCATCATGTTCCAATCTGCCCTCTAAAAGCAGAAACAGGTAAAGATTATCCTACCTGACAATCCCAATGATTTTTTTTTTTTTTAGATAGTATTCTGTTTTGGTGTGAGTGGTTTTAATTGGTTCAAACTTTCTGCAAGCTAACAACATTTAATAGAATTTCAGATGTGTATATTCTTTGTAGCAGCGAGTATAATTCTTCACCAGGTGGCTGGAATAATGCCTTGGCCAGCAGGCCTGAGCTATGCAGCTCCCATAGGCTCTCCCCTCTCTTGGTGATGGGCAGGGGGACACCTTGTTTTCATTTAGTACCTTCCTTCCCTCCCTCCCTCCCGCTCCGTTCCACTCCTCTCCATCATATGCGCTGACCCAGCAGATCCCTTCAAGTCATACTCAACTATTGAAAATTCAGGGATGGGGAGGGCAGTCATGGCCCTGTGAGAATAGCCTGAGTGTGGGCAAGCATAATGCATCCATTCCTATGGCCCTCACCCCAGGTTGGGGTTGGCAGAGCGTGATGCACCTGAGACCTTCCATTAATTCATGGGCAGTCTCCTCTCTTGTTAGGTCTCCAAACACAGCAAAGCTCCCTTTTTTCCTCAGAGTTTGAAAAATTTATGGCAGGTGAGTTTCACTCTTTTTTCTCTCTCTCAGGAATATTTAGGAAGTTTCTCTCCTTGTCCATCAGTGGGAAAGAAAAGTGGTGGGGGAGGTGTGGTTATCTTAGTTAAACTTGAAATTCAAAACAAATACTCTTAGATAAATTCCAAATCATCATAGCATTTGACATCCTGACAGCCTATGTGTGGTTTTTTACCTCTATAATTAGAAGTTTACACCTTTGAGGATGCAGGTCTTTTGCTCCCCTAGGGAAATAGAGTCTGGCGTCTTAAAAACAGAATTAGCTGCTGCTTAGCCAGAACGCATCAAGAGCAGAAAATACATTTAAAATAAATTAATCCCTTACATAATTAAAATATTACTGCTGACTCTGGGGCATGTGCCTTCACTTACATATACATACACTTTCTCTTCCAAACATCAGACATTTTTTTATTAACAACACTTTAATTTCAAACGGGCACAACAAATCCATATACACAGATTCAAAGTTTAAAACCTCAGGAAACTCTAATCAACCATCTTCTATTGCCTCATCTTGTCCGCACACCAGCCCCTACCATTGACCAGCCCGATGGGCAGGTGTAAGTTCTAAGTTGGATGCAGGAAAGGCATCAGTGTGAATCAACTTGATTCCTAACAAAGCCAAGTAAGAGTATCGGAAATTCTCGAATTGTCTTCCACATGCTACAGGTTCCTGTCTACATTAGGCTCTCATGTCACTAACCTGAGGGGGTGTCTGTGCAGAGGGACGATGTGCCAGATGGCCTCACCCTAGACTGTCTCTGCTGTCGGCCTGGGTTCCACCTGTCTCCTCCTGGCTCTCAGATTTCATGTCTTCACTGTTCCCGAGAATCCAGCTCTCTTTTTAAAGTGGAAACTGATAGAGTAAGATGTATTCATGATTACATTCAAATACATCAAGAGCCGTTTCTGATCCCCACAATGCAGCAGGAAAGCCTAAGGGTATTTTCATATAACTACTCACCAAAATAGAAAGAAAGACCTCACTAACTTTGCACACTTGTCTATAATTGCACTAGCCCTGCATTCTCATTAGAATATAATCATCTTGGTTTTCAGTTGGATAAGCTGCCATCTCTGCTTTTCCATTGTGAAGAGTGGGGAAGACTTGATTACTTGCTTCAGTGTAAGATGTGTAATTTTCCCAAAAAAGGCTACTTACACAGATGCATTTCCAATCAGGGCTCTAGAGCCCAGAACAAAATTTTGATTAATAGTCCATCGAGGGTTTCAACACATGGTTCAATGTTTAAAGGATTTTAGATAAATCCACTGAAGAGGATCCAACTCTGGTTATGAATATAATAGTATCTGGCTCTCTGGTGGAACTGTAGCCAGTTTAATATACAGACACCAGATGCCCTTCCATAGGCTGTAAGCACCTTGCAGGTAGGGACCTGGTGTTACTCAAAGGGGATCTCTAGCATGTGGCTTAATGCCCTGGGTACACTGAGGACAATAAGCATTAAATGAAATGTTGCTCAGCCTGGTGAGATATGTAGAAACCGTGGGCAGAAAATCAACAACTTCTGACAGATTCTCTGAAGACCATGTTCCTGCTGGTGCTGCCCATCACTACATAAACTAGTTAAATTCTTCACTGGGCCCATTCAGTCAGCAAGTGTGTACTGGGTATTTTACTAGACCCTGACCCTGGATGTGGCAAAATGCTCATCAGCAGAATCCATTTCTTCTTCTGAGTCATTTCCCTATCTCCTTCACTGCAACTAAGGCCATGTGGCTGGTTCTAGCTAGTGGGAAGTGAAGAAAAGTGTCCCTCTTCAGGCCCATCCTTTGGAGTCCCTCCGTCCCCTCCTCCATGCCCTTCCTCCTCCCAGTTGACGGGATCAGAAACAACATGGCAGCCATGGAAGCCGTGTGCTGAGGATGGGAGAGCTTTCTTCAGCCTGAGTCCCTGAATGACCCCACCAAACTGAACACCTGCCCACAACTGTTAGGTGAACAGAAAAGAGCTTCTATCATGCTGAGCCCAATCCCCACTAAAACATCGGAGATGCAAGGTCCGAGGAGACGTGGCCCAGCCTGTAGGGGGCATCTAACCCCAGCATGGACTTCAATGGGCAGAAGACCACCATGTGGCTCTTTATGCCTCCACAGAGGAGAGCCACACACAGAGAGAGTCACTCCAGGATGCCTGCTCCAAGATCAGCAGGCCCTTGGTGAGAAGGCCCTGGTTGGAGACACGTAGCCAGAGACGGCGTGCCCTCAGGGATGAACCGAGTACTGCAACCAGCCAGATGCAGGGCCTGCACACCAAAGGATCGGTTTGTGGGAGGCCAGACCAATGACTCTGACCCTTCATGTCTCACCAAAGTGGATCAGCAAGGGCTTGCCAAGGGGATGCTCACCAACAGAGCTCTTCTGGCCAACACCCACTTCCTCAACATAAGGCATGCTGTTTGCTAGCAGGCAAACTGTCTCCAGTATATTCATTTGAAGGGCCTTGGTATCCTCCACTGTGAAAATACTTGTACACGTATTTCTCATTTAGTCCTCTAAATGACCTTGCTGAGCAGTGAGGCAAGTTGGCTCAAGGTCTTACGGCCGGTGGAGATGTTGGAACTCAAATGTTCAGACACCTGATTCATTCAGTGTCCTCCCCAAGCTCTGGTTTTATGTCAGGGCTTAGGACACACCTTCCTCCACAGCCCCTAGTATTTCTTAACACCCTCTGTAAACTCACGAACCAGCAGCAGATTTAAGCTCAACCGGAGAGCCAGGACCACACGACTGATGCTCTGCCCCACCCCAACCTCTGCACCACCCCGGAGGCAGCATTACGGCTATGCAGAGCTTCGGGAAAATGTCATGGGTGAGATTTAAATGTCACGGCATCAATCTGGGTCTCGTGTTCAGTTCCCCAGGCAGCACACAAATGAGGAGGACCTCAGGGTCATAAAGGGAAGTTTGTTAAAAAAAAAAAAAAAAAAAAAAAGCTGAGCTATTTGTTAAGAATGTCAGGGTGATACTGATATATTTCACTGAGGTTTCACTGGTATATTTGAATTTCAATTTCCGTAGAAGTTAGATCCTCAACCATTACATCCCCCTCCTTTTTGCACCTCACAAATACCCCATCACATTACTTACTTCCATTCAGTAAATATTTACTGAGCACCTACTAAGGGAAAGGCTCGCTGCTGTCCACCTGCTATTCATCTCCATGATGGCACTATGTCAAATCAGGAAGATAATCATTTACAAACATGGAAATTGATTGTTCCTGAGTTCTTCAGTCTTCTGGAGGCCCTCTCCATTAACATTCAAGTGAAACTACTTGAGTCCCCACCACTGATGGAGGGAAGCCAGCACTATGGCTGGGATCTGAGAACAGGGGATAAAGAGTAGCAAGTGTCCTACTACGACTCACTACTAATGAATGCTATTGGCCCAGCTTTCAACCCAAATGATTCTCTCTCCTCCTGCAGCTTCATTCATGCACGTCTTCAGCAAGTGTCTATGGAATTCCTACTAGTGCAAGCATCATACTGCACGATGAACAAGACAGAGAGCCCTACTCTTGTGACCATGCTCCTTATAATCTAGGAAAAGACCCAGACAATTTACTAACCAGCAGTTCTATAGTAGAACAGCTACTCTCCCTTGCCCGAACATGGACACACCTGCTCCTCCATCCTTCCCCCAAGCTCTACCAACTCAAGGCTGCTGTGTACAAATCTTTTATTGACAGTTGGGGAAAACAAAGTGTGACTATAAGTTAGAACTAAGAATACCTTCCAATTTAATGTCAGACTTCACTATTCCTAAAAATTCTCTGCCTTTTCCCCACCAAATGGCTTACTTTCCTGAGATCCTAGCATCTGGATCTCCACCCCTTGAGCATTTTCTTCAGTCTTCCCCTTGATATGGGTTGAATTGTGTCCATTTCCCAAAAAAGATATGATGTTGAGGTCCTAACTCCCAGTACCTCAGATTGTGACCCTATTTAGAAATAGAATCTTTTCAAAAATAATTAAGTTCAAATGAGGTCATGGGGGGGAGGCAGATCCATTGTGATTGCTGTCCTTATGAAAAGGAGAAAATTGGACACAAAGACAGATATGCACAGATGTGAAAACACACTAGGGATTGGAGTGATGTGTCTACAAGCCAAGGAGCACCAAACATTGCTGGCCAGACATCAGGAGCTGTAAGAGGCAAGGAACGATTCTCCTCTACAAGTTTCAGAGGAACCTGGCCCTGCCAACACCTTGATCTTAGGCTTCCAGTTTCCAAAACTGTGAGACAATACATTTCTGTTGTTTAAAACCACCCAGTTTGTGGTCCCCTGTAAGAGCAGCTCGAGGAAGCTAAAACACTCTCATCCTTGAGATTCAAGCTTCTAACCTGACCCCTTGAGCCCCCAAGCACGAGGCTGCCTGCAGAAAACTCAAAC